AAACAGGGGAAAATTAGTCTGATATCAACATTGATAAGGACTTTCAGAATTGTTGATATAAATTGATAACTACTTTGAAGTGCAATATGGCATTATTTACCCAAATTCTTACCTATAACTTAGCAATTTTATATCTAGATATTCCTAAGAAAAATACCAGAAGACATGTACAAGGATATTACAGCATTTTCCATAACAGCAAACAAACAAAAAATGTCACTCTTTTCAAAATTGTTTTGGCTGTTCTGGATCCTCACATCATTTGGATCCCAGCAGAAATGAAACAAAGGTAATAGTGACATGAAAGGAAGATGTGTTAGAAAATGCCCCTGGAATTCAGTGAACTTCAGGTGGGGATGTCTTTGAAGTGTATTTAGGAAAGTCCTTTATTTTTATTTTTTTATTTTTTTTAACGCTTATTTATTTTTGAGACAGAGAGAGACAGAGCATGAACGGGGGAGGGGCAGAGAGAGAGGGAGACACAGAATCTGAAGCAGGCTCCAGGCTCTGAGCCATCAGCCCAGAGCCCAACGGGGGCCCCAACTCACAGACCGCGAGATCGTGACCTGAGCTGAAGTTGGACGCTCAACCGACTGAGCCACCCAGGCGCCCCTATTTTTATTTTTTTAATAATTAAAAAAAAATTTTAACGTTTATGTATTTTTGAGAGACAGAGAGAGACAGAGCATGAGCAGGGGAGGGGCAGAGAAAGAGTGAGACACCAAATCTGAAGCAGGCTCCAGGCTCTGAGCTGTCAGCACAGAGCCTGATGTGGGGCTTGAACCCACGAACCATGAGATCATGACCTGAGCTGAAGTCAGGTGTTCAACTGACCAAGCCACCCAGACACCCCTAGGAAAGTCTCTTAAATAGTGAAAGTTTTGTGAACTAGTAAAAATTTATCATGAACTGGCACTGATCAGGAATTTGGACTAGATATTTTCTAAGTTTCCTTCTAGCCTGAACATTCTGTAGTTTTCATATTTATTTAATACTAGGTATTATGCATGTATTTTGTATTTATGTATTTCCCAAGTGACATTGTATACTCTAATTTGTTATGCACAAACTTGTTAAGTATAATAGTGAATTCATATTATTCTCATTTAATACCTAGATGCGCTTCATGCAAAAAATAACTGGGAGGAATAGTTAGGTGTCCTCATCTCATATCCAGATATGCATGGAAGCAATTCCAGTATTTGCTTTTTTCTAATGCATAGAGACAGGATAAAGTGCAATAGTTAAAACCTTGGGACTCTGGAGCCAAACTGCATTGTTTTAAAACCTGGATCCTCCACTTACTAGCTTCGTAACCCTGGGCATTTATTTATCCTCTCTATGCCTAGGTATTTCTATCTGTGAACATGGAATTATAAATAATAGCAGTTTTTTTCCTAGAATTACTTTGAGGACTAGGAATGAAAGTGTGTAAAGCACTTAAAACAATATAGACAATTAAAACAGTATGAATCACAAAGTAAGCATTATGTAAGTTTTAGCTATTGTTAACAGAATGGCTTCAATCCTGAGAGAAACAAATGACTCATGGTGTTTTCAGGGGGAAAAAATGAGAGGCCACGTTATTTTTAAAATGAAGAAGGAATATTCATATATCTTGTGTGTGTGTGTGCCCGCGCGCATACATGTGTGTATACATTTGCAACACATATATATACAAGGATGTCTGCTTTTTGATATCACCTTTCATTTTTGTTCCCCCTTTGAATCCAGAGGGTAATCCTATGTTTTGGTAGAAATGTTTGTGGCACTGTACTTTCTTACCGTAATGTTTATGATATGTCATCATCACCGGCTGCTGCTCTCTTTTTCAGGCTGGACGGGAACTGGAAGCTGAGCAGGCCTACAAGTACACAATGAAGGTATGATGCAGGTGCCTCTGCTGCTTGTACTGAGGTTGGAAAACTGGGAGGAAGATGCTGCCTTAATTCAAGACTTTACAACATTTCATGATGTGAATATTTTTCTAGAGGCTCTTCTTACTATCTTTGCCATTTGCTGCTGGGTTTGGAATAACCCATATATTGGAATAACCCATATATTACTATGGGGGACCTTTTTTCTACCTCTTTATAGAATTTGGTTTAATGGAAAGACAGAAGGCCTGGGAGTCAGGAGACCTGAGTTATGGTCCTAGTTTTGCCACTAACTTTACTGTGTTAACCTCTCTGGGCTTCATTTTCCTCATGTGTAGACTGAAGGTGTTGGTCTAGTCCACAGATCAGCACACTTTCTGTAAAGGGCAAGATTATTTATATTTTAGGCTTTGTGGGCCAAACTGTCTCTATTGCATCTACTACTCTTCCCTCGTAGTGCAAAAGGAGCCATAGACAATACATTAACAAATGGGCATGGTTGTGTTTCAGATAAAAGTTTTACTTACAAAAACAGGCAGCCAGCCGGATTTGGCTCATGAGCAGTAGTTTGCCAACCTCCATTGTATTCTATTAATTATGAATTACAGATAATTTGACTTGAAAGATAGTGGCTTAAAAAAATTGGGAGTTTTATTTTTCTTATCTAATGAAAAGCCCAGGGCTGGGATCCCAGCTCCACAATGTCATCAAAGACCTAAACTCTATCTCTTTGCTTCAGTCACAGCATGCAGTTCCCATCCTTCATTGTTGCAAGGCAGCCACTGTAGCTCAGGCCACCACATACATGTTTCAGGCACAATAAAGAACAAAAGGGAGGAAAGAACAAAGAAAACATGCTAGCTATTTCACCTCCATTATGAAGCAATGACTTTATGGGGATAAAAGATATAGCATAGGGAATATGGTCAATGGTATTGTAATAGTGTGTGGGACAGATGGTAGCTATACTTATTAGCTATACTTAGTGTAATGTATAGACTTGTAGAATCACTGTGTTCTACACCTGAAACTAATGTAACATTGTACGTCAACTACACTCAGATTAAAAAAATAAAGATGTTTCACAAGTACATAGAATTTGATGGTAAAGAAAATCATTTCCAGAGAAAAGTATCTCCTTTTGGGGGGGAAAAAGCAGCAGTGACTTTAGCTGACATTTCATTAGCCACAATTCGTCGTAAGACTACCCCTAGATCTAAGGGAAGAAGGGAATGGAGATTTTTAGCTAGCTGAATTCCTGCCCTGAAAAGAAGTGAAGATTTTGTTAGTAAGAAAGGAGAGTGGGTATTTAGTAGCCACTAGACATCTTTACTACACATCTAGAGTCTAAAATTAAATCTAGTATCTTTGATTCCTGTCACTTGCCAAATTGGAATATTATAGTCAAGATAGATTGGGTGATGATGTGAACTCTTTTAAAAGTAAACTTTATTAAAGTTATTTTACAAAAAAATACACAAATTGCAAATGTTTATACTACTTGAATTTTCATAAAGTGAATGTGTCCATGTAAGCACAATGTTCTGAGGTCTTTTAATGGAGCTACCATGAAATAGGGAATATGGGAAGAGCCAATTTCATGCCAAGGAACTATATTCTTTAACTGTGGCCCTGTAAATGAGGGGTTTCCACAAAGATATATCAGGTATGACATGTCTCCTCCCCTTCCATCTTCTTATGCAGCTGAAATTGAAAGATGAGACTCTACTTGCAGAGATCCACATGGTACAGGAGGCAGTTGGCTTTGGAAATCCATCTTTCTGACATCCTTCCAGCTGAAGACTATTCTGTATGGGACTCTGAGCTTCTTTCCTTCCCAGAGAAATTAAACCCTGGATATTTCATCACATGAGGCCTGGGAATGGACAACACCATGAACAGAAACTCGTTCATTTATTTCCATGGGCTATCTTACTGGATAGCCCTTCCTGGGATGTTTTACAAATGACAGTAAACTAGATGACAATAAAAAATGGAAGAGATTAAAAATTCATCAGTGTGGTTCTGGAGTTAATTAAGGTATACTGAGGTATATGTAAGAACATAATTATTTCTATAATTAAGGTATAGTGGGTTCATTATTAAGGTTTCTGGTAAAAGCTTATCAGATCACTCCTTTAGGACGTCAACTGCTAAAGTCTCTGGCCTGGTTTACTTCCTGGAACTTGAGAATTAAGGTATCAATTTCTAAAGTGGGCCTAAAGTAAGAATGCAATGTTGGGTCACTGTATTAGGACAAACACATTAGTTGTGACCAGACCCTTTGGATTCAATGGTGAACAGAGCTGAACAGAGAGGTCTTTGCTCATTACCTCTAATCCCGGGTATCTTTATGGATCTAAATCACAAGGGCTCCAAGAAGAGTCCATTACTCTATAATAGATGGAAAACTCACAACTGAGGCCATTATTCTAGGGTTAGAGATGACAAAGGAACCATCCTTCACTCCTTTTCTTCTAGATCACTGCATAGCAAAACCAGAAATAAAGACTCCTTTCTCTTATTTTTTTTAAAGAAGGTGCAGAGGAGGGAGGTGGAGGAATAGGAGGGAAAGTGAAAGGCATATTAATAAACATAGAAAATTAAAATAAACTCCACATTCATTTATTGTTCTTCTATAGCCTCGACTCTAACGCTACTTCCTTTATGAAATCTTCCTGAGGCACCAAGGAAGTATCGGGTTCGCCTCCTCCTCCGCTGCCCCAGGACTGTATACTGACCACCTTTAGCAACTCTGGTGTGGGCTCAGCGTCTCCCCCACGTGACTATGAGCTTCCTAGGGGCAGGGACAGCGCCCTTTCAGCTAGGCCTTGTCAGCAGTGGCTTTGGCTCTAAACAGGTGCCCAAAACACGTTCCCTGGAAGGATGTATTCAAGAGCACTTTAGCAATTCTCCTGGCCGCTCCCCCAGATTCTCCCAATATTCCTCACTCTAGCAGGAACCCACTGTCACTCAGCTCGGCTCGCACTACCACCCCCGCTACACGCAATTGCAGCGCGCCTTTTTTGCAGCAGTTTAAGGTACATTAGGGTTCGCGACGTTGCCTTATGGGAAGGGTAGGAGCGAAAAGCGGAAGAGGCGGGGCGAGTGGACTCTGCTTCCGCCACCAGGGCGCTAGGGCTTGGGTCACGGACAGGTCACGCCCCAGGTTCGGCAGTGTGGACTTCGGTGTTCGTCCTTCGCCCTTCCCAAGCCATAGCGCTGATCAGTGCGGACAGCGGGGCGCTGCGAGGCGCGGCACCTGGCGCCCTAAGTCGCGGCGCACGCCGGCTGCACCATGGTCCAGCTCAGTGAGTGAGCTTCCGGGCGGAGCTCGTCGGCGTATGGG